GAACTTTATGAACAAGTGAAATTGAGTATTTAATTTCAACAATGGATTTGGAAAAAAAATTAATTAAGTTGCTTACCAAATGATCAATTCGAAGATGCAGTTTCTGGTACGCGATTACTCGACACTCGAATCCCCGAGTACCCGACGTATAGTCAGATGATAAATATATTAAACGACTCCCCAAACTCTCATTAAATACTTACAATTCTTCGAAAAACGTGGATTTGGGATTTGTTCAGTAAGACAATACATTATCCAGACTGAATTATATAACTGCTCTGCAACTACTTCCTCACAGTCTCTAATTCATGTCAAAGCAAAGAAAGCATTTTCAGTCAGAGAACAAAAATCCGTTCTATCTTTGAACCCGTTTCAATAAAGTGGGAATAACTTCCGATCCCATCTTGTGAATCTAGCATTATTTGGGCGCTATAATGCGAAAGTCAGAAGCTCCCATATTTCTATCATAGGAGCACTGCATGCATGGTTGGTATAGCTTCGTTTTTTCCTTCACACTTCTACTTTTCAGAAGTCTATATTTTCATTTTTGAGCTTAACAGCTAATATCGAACTTTTTGCATTTCTTCCCCCCTATGGTACCTTGAGATTTCAGGCACGAGGGTTAATGAGCTATTTCTTAGTGTCTCTTCGTGAAGAAAGTCACGTTGTGTTTCATTAGGTTCACATTTTTTTATTGCTGTTCTTTATAAATTCGAATAGAAAGAGGCCAGGTGTAAAAATTGCTGATAATGCCAACGCAAATAGAGATATCATTCAGTTGATGATGTCTGTCTCTAATCTTTGATGGTAACATATTGCTATAAAAATGCTCATCTTTCTTTGAGCTTTTCTTCTAACAGCTTACCGGTAGTACAATATTCATACTCTGCAGAAAGAATGCAATTTTGCGCATTCAACAACTCGTGACAGTTTATTTTTTTGCGGAGTCAAACGGTATTGTCCATTGATATTAACAAACACTGCTTTTTTCACTCTTTTTATATGAAAAGTACAGTAAAAAAAGGTGTGGAACTCCGGTGCTTTAATGTGACGCGTGTTGGATGGTTGCCATCCTGCTAATCAGGTACTCGAGTAATCTGATCGGTTTCATTTTCAATGTATGCAGCGTTCCTAGCAGAACCCTCTTCTGCAAACAAAGGCCACGCCACGAAATTACCAAACAAACCCCGTATGATAATTTTGTGAACTAAATCGTATTTTATAGTCAGGCCTCGGCACGAGGTCTCACGAATACCCGTTTGAAAACCCATGATTACGCAGCCCCTTTTGTATATTGTACAAACGCGCGCAATCAAGACAAGCACTGCAGTGCCTCGTACTTGGAGCGCGTTTTCTTTATTAAGGAAAAATAATCAAGGGCCTAGCAAGGAAC